TATATGCCGATGCTGCTTACTGTGCCACATTATCGTAGCGGCATGGATGATATAACACTGGATTGGTGTCTCGTGGAAATTAACATTGGGATCCGCGACATTGGGATCAGGCCTGCCATCTAGCGAGAGAATTATCGTAAGTTAGGAGCAAGCCGAGTGAACGCCATCTCTCAGCATTATGACACACGTGGGTGTGGTGTGTTAGTTGGCTCGAAGTGCATATTCCCACGAGTTGGAGGTAATCTTACTGGACCTGAGACCACAAAAAATGTCTTAAATGCTTGAAAGCCAAAAACGTCAAGCAGCCTTTGGGTAATAACGAAAATAAAATCCGTAAGACGGTGTGTATATTGAAACGCCCAGTCCCGTCGGCTTTTACGAGCTTTTATATGGCCATTTACTCACAATGGTACAGCAGTTTGACAATATGTTATACATATTTGGTAGGCTTATACCTTCTTCTCCGAATTTCGCCCGATTTTCTTCACCTTAGTTAATGCTACGGCACGTGTCACGTGCCAACTTAGGGGTGTCGAAATTGTTCCACATAAAGTAACTCCGCAATGGCTGGGTCCATTACAGTAAAATTTCGTCAATAGTTAGGCACCCAGTGGCCAATGCATTTCCATGTGTCACTATGGGGGTGCTACTGCACATGCGCACGTGCGGGGTGCCGCTTCCATATCTCAAGAACGGCTGGGCGGATAACACTCAAACTTGGTACACAAATGTCACATCGATGCTCGCACTGCATTGATCAGTGCTTACATTGGAGTTGTTAGGAAAACGATGAAATGAGATGCGTGGTGTTTATGCCTTTCTGTTCCAGCAGCTGATTGATCCGCAACAGGAGATCCTTGTTTGTGAAGGCTTCGTCTCCCTTTTCCACTCCTTGCTTAAAATAACATTAACAATGTACGAAGAAGATCACACATCAAAGTTGTTTTAGGCGGCTATATTGGGCCAGGGCTGCGGAGTTGTAGTCAGAGCCAGCGGTTCTGTTCCGACTCGGAGTCGGTTGATTTTTAAAAGCTGTAGTCGGAGTATGAGTCGAACATCACCGAAAAGTCATCGACTCCACAGACTTTCCAGGGCTGCAGAGTCGGAGTCAGAGTCGGAGTCTGTGAATCGACAGTTCTACCCGAAGGAGTCGGAGTCGATATTTGGATACCGGAGTCGGAGTTGGAGCCAAAGTCACTGAAATTTCATCGACTACGCAGCACTGGTTGGGTCATTTTCATAGAGCGTCTTGAATGACATATTGAGCGGCAATGACGTTAGCAATTCCGTTTAACTTTTTCATTAGACTTATAGATAGTACTTACGTTCGTTTTGTTCTTTGATCGGACAACTTGTTTGATTTAGGCCAAGTAAAGACTCGTGTGAAAAATAGCGAAAACGACACGTGCTGGCGAAGTCTCAAATAACTCCCTGTTTCACGATTTAATGAGGAAATAGCATGGATCTGCTTATCTTATTACTGACCCTGCACATAAATCTATTAATTTCTTCGCTTTTGCTGACATATAAAGACATAACCTTTTGAAAAATTGCAAAACAAGCCTGCTACTACACCACACTCCCGTGTGTCACAATGGTAATGTTCACTCGGCTTGCTCCTAACTTACGATAATTCTCCCGCTAGATGGCAGGCCTGAGCTCAATGTCGCCAAAAACTGCGAAGACACCAATCCATTATTATCTCATCCATGGTAGCGGTGACACCTCTTTTCGGATGACCATTACCTAATCAGATTAGCATCGTCCCCGCTGCTCCTGGACAGCGTGTGAGCTGAGTTAACCCGCTCTGTGTGTTCGGCAGGCCGGGCGGCGGCCCGTCCGACCGTCTGGCCCGTCTGGCCGGCTATCTGATCGACCAGCAGTCGTTTTACCCGCTCTACCCGGCCGAGGAGAGTGTCGGACTCGACTTTCAGCACTGGCAGCGTCACTGCCAGCTGCCCGTGCTGCCGCACGTGCTCGTCACACCCTCCGACTTCAAAGGCTTCGTCAAGGTGAGTATTATGCCAGCAGTACTGGCTTTTTCTTGCAGCAGGAGAACCAAACGTGGGCCCGTTCCTGCCATGTTCCGTAAATGGGATTTGGAGCCACTGTCATGTCAGGCAACAGTAAAGGACTTTTAAAGGCAAAATTGCTCTCACGCATTTCAGTCAATCATGTATTGGCGTTCGCAGACAAATTTAACTCGGATAATGTTCACTGTTACCGAATTCCGTAAATAGGGAGAGACGACTGTTTGTAAGATTTGGCCCAGTCAAGTCTGAGAGGAGTAATTTTCTACAGGCTCGGTGAATGAGTTCGATGCTGTTAATTAAGTAATTTTGCATTGATAATGCAAGAATGCAAGGATTGATGCCTTCTAGTGTCAAATGTTTGCACGGTTTGCGAGTTGCTACATGTCTTTTTGAAGTTTTAAGTAGGCCTTAGGTAGCTGTAATAGGCAAGCTCTTTCATTTGTTTTTGAAATACTGATGTCGAGGAAAAAACATTGGGTAGAGTGGGGGGGGGGACTAGTTGTCAGGACGAAAGTTCATAACTCATGTCACTCTGCACAGCTGTATATTGTGCAGTCATATCTCCTTAGCGACAAGCTGGGGCATCATGCCGGTAAGCTCCTGTCGTGTTTTCTTACATTCTCTCCTTTCCAAAATCAACTTCTCGGTACAGTGGCTGTTTTTTTTTTTTAAGGCGCTCGTCTGTAGCTGGTCCTGGAGTTGAAACAGTGAGGGAAAACATGCGGCTGTTGAATGCAACGGTATCGTCTTGCCCCTCTACGAGGGCCTCGCTTTGTGATATTGACTGTGGCATTTTTTTGAGCCCATAATATCCGGCTAATCCTCCAAAAGTGTCTCAGGTTCTCCTTTTCCTGCTAAGTGAGCGACACTGTAACTGTGCAAGGCTACACAGTACTCAGCTTGGAACACCTTTTGAAACCGTGAGTGAACAGAACCGCAAAGGGACCTATTTGATAGTCGTGTTTGTACTGTGGGCTAGAAATGATCGCCACTTTGTGTGTCTCGTGATGATCACGTCCGTTGTAACTTGTAGGGCCTCTTGCCGAGGGATTCCGACAAACTGGCCTTCCCACTGTCATTTGGCGTCGACGCCCAGTTCTTGTCAATGTTTAGACCTTTTTGTATCCTGGTGAAATGCCGCATTGAAAATCATGAGTTGAGGTCAAAGTTTCATTGATCACTTTTAACTTCTATGCAACTTTGGTGCCATCTATGCTGAATTTAGATGTTCCCTCGTCTTAATTTGAAAAGTGGCCAGTAAGGAGTAATGACTCACTGTTAGGCTCATGCCCGATTTTCCACATTTTGGCATACTCTGTGTTGAAACATTGTCAGTATTTTTTACCGACGTCAGTATTTTCCCTAGTGATGCCTTTCTCTTGAGCATTGAATCCAATGTCAGATCTTCTTGGTATCACACTCCGTTTGCATCCTTATATTACCATCTATGTTTGTTATCCTCATTTATAACATCATAAGGTATATTCGAGTACATGACTCCTTATTTTTATGCGCATTTCAGGAGGTGTCGGGGTGCCTGGTGGTGAACCCCTCCCGACTGTCGCGGGGCCAAGTGGGCGGCTCCTACGCCCGTCTCCGGATGCCGCCCTCGGAGCGCGACCTGGCCCCGGAGGTGTTCTCTGCCCAGGTGCTGAAGATTTGAGCTGCTCAACAGCGGCGATGTGGTAGTGTGTGCGAACCTGGCGATCCACCAGCTCGGTGTCTCTTGGAGACTGTGGAGCTACCACTGCGTGAGCGTGATCGCTAAATGTGGCTTGCTGGAATGCAAGCCCTTCTACAATTGTCTGTTTTTTACTTCTGTTGGTCGTGTTCGCCTCATGATGCAAATACAGTTACGGTGTCCGTATATTTATTGCTCTTATTGGCATGATCATTACGTCTGAAGCAAAAACTGTTGCTAATCTTTTTCCATACGCTTTCTATAAGTGCATCTGAGCACGGGAAAGACATAATTGGTATTTGTTTTCAAAGCGCTTCTTAAAAGTTGAGGTATTGTAACTAGACGGCTAACATGACCAACTCCAGAGATTTCCCCAACACCGCACTTCAGTGTAAGTTTTGCTTCTTATGTTTCTGGGTCGGACATTTTGAGACACGTTGAATACCAATAGAAAAAATCAACGCATTCTGTGCATAGGCCTCCATTGAAAATACGACTTTCCTCTTTATCGTCTCCAACGGGAAAATGGGAGAATGCGGAAATCTTATTTTTACCGATGAAATAAAGCAGACGATACAGAACACAGATATAGATGTAATCAGTCACATACCTTCACCACCATTACCGTCCACCATCACCAATTACCCATTAATAATAAAATCGAAATATTGGTTATAACCGATTATATCCAAGCAGCAGACGCTATTGTTTTACAAACTTACGCAATGCACGGTAACTGAACTGCAGCTTGTAAAGCCTTTTGTGCCGAGTAACAAAGATTGCTCATTCCAGATTATCGTTTTGAATGACACGCTAGGATTTGGTTTTGTAGGCACATGGGTGTACAAACGCGCTCTCGAGTTGTGTGAAATCGGGTAATATGCCATCCGCCTCAGCAAATATCTATAGTGTACCTAGTATGCTTGTGGTGTCGTTGCAATTATTTCACGACAATGTCATCCCTGTAGGTTTATGGGAAACACTTGTTTCATGTACAATTTCTCAAATTGTAGAATTTATTGCATGGCAAGAGTAAAAATAAAACGTGTCGTTTAAGCTAGTTTGGAAGTCCACGCTTACTTGATAGTTGGAAGCGTTCCACATCAACCATATGCAAAGTTACGTCCGTATGGTTATTTTTTCAGCGGTCAGATTGGTGCGTTTAGGTAGACTGAACGCCTTTCTGCGATCAAGGCTCGACGTTTCTGGTTAATGTGTAACGCGTTCCATTCAAAGTATCTGCGACGGTCTCCGGGTTCCGAATACGCATTGGCCATGCTCATGGTCTATCCTTCGTGTCGGCATATCAGGAGCTCATCTCTGCGCTCCTGAACAGGCCGGTGGTTACGGTGCATGTGGTGGCCATGCTCGTCCCGCAGCTTCCTCAGTTGGTGCAGGAATGATGACGAGACCTTTGCTGGCTTGGTGGCAACCAGCCAGGGAAGGCCCAGGGTGCAAGGCGGCGTGGTCAGACTGCCGATGTACCTGTACACGTTCTCCAGAGCCGTGTCCAGAACGTCCTTCAGCTCATCGATGTGGATCTCTTTGCTGTAGCTTGATGAGTATTTGCGTACATGATGCATGTCTTTCTCGAGGTGGAACGTTGGAAAATGCATGTGGCCGTGGAAGTGCCTGTCATCAGTGAGAAGAATGCCCAACGCATGCAGCGCTCCTTCTTGTTCTCTCGCCACATGGAATGGAACGCCAGCCAGGGCAATGTGCTTGAACTTCAAGTGCACTTCGGCGGCACGCCTCTCTCCCTCGACGGCATGTTCGGAGCCTTCTTCGCCGTGCTCATCCCAGTGGAAGTGAATTTCTGCCAGGTCATAGTCGTAGCCTTCCTCCTCCACAACATTGGAGATCAGAGTCAGCGGACCATGAGCGCCGTTGTCAGCAACTTGTCCGAAACAGTCGAACATCATCTTGAGCGTTCTGCCATCGTTGGTAACGATAACATCCCATTTGTCGCTGTTCTTCCTCACCCACGGCTTAAAGAAGTCATCTTCACAGTGCTCACCATACACGTCGATGGGAGACTGCTGCCTGCTCTCCTCTGCGCAGCGCGAGTTGGGGACGTCCTTCCACGAGTCAAAGTCGTGGTAGTTCCATGGAAGTCCATGTGGAGGCACGAGAGGACACGAACTGGCGTCACACCAGGCCACGGCCAGCGACAGGAGAAGCACGGCGCGGGCGGCTGGCATCCTGGCTGGTAGGCTGAGCACACCAACACCACCCGATGCCGAGTGGAGGGCCGGACTCGGGCCACACTCAGCCGGTGCCCCTCTTAAATAACTGCAGCCTGCAGACCCGTCCATTGCCTGGCGTGCAGGCGGCTCGCGGAAACAGCCGGGGAAAATGGAGTTTTGCAATATGACGGGCCTCTGAAAACCGAGATATATCGACAATCCCTGGTCGCCGTTAGTGAACAACTGTAGCCTTCTATATTGAGCTCAAAGCTATTATTGTTTTGAACTTTTTATATAGAGCACCGTTTCCTTGCAACCTTTTTTAAGAACCGGGACACAATAAGGACTCGCGACACTGGACAGTGTGTCAAGAATAATGAAGAAGCTGGCCAAGGATGCTTACATAAACGCGAAACTGTGACTCTACATGCGCTATTCCAGAATTATATAAATTCCGTGTGTTTTTAGAAAGAATGCCTCTCTCTTTATAAATAAATAGACTCGCCTATCTTTCAACGTCCAAGATGCAGCATTATTAATGTTTACCAACGTACTCTCACTGTATCGTCAACGACCGCGTAGCTGGCGACATTGGCTATTTTGGCAACAATATGACCAACTAGCCAAGTCTAAGTGGTGTATCTCGCTTCCAAATGTTTATGTCTGGCCCAAGGCTATAGAACTGTCTGGCCGCTGGAAGTAATGTCCACCAACCCTCTACGACACCGCTTAGATTGGCACAGACGTGAAGGCTGTGACAGCGTCGCCTTCACGCTTTCACGTACACCCTTTTCCCTGAATGATGGCGATGGATAGCAACGATGGATAGTTCGCTCTTAGCTCGACCCTATCTGCATGTTTATTGATTGTACTGGTTCCTGAAAATTATTCTATGGCGTACGATGGCACACATTGGCATGTGTTCGGCGCTTTCGGAAATGAAAACCAAACCAAAGGAATAAAAAACATGTTGAGGTGGTGCGGCAAACGGAAAATGTCACACTCACAGTTGGTCTTCTACATCACCAGCAAGGACTCGTTTTTCCAAATTATGATGCCTACATACGTACCCGTTTCATGATCGGTGTTATCTGTCAAGTAATGAACACGGCCATTCGAAACCAACTGTTGGTATAATTGAGATATTTTGCGCCATCATGTTAAGGAATATTCAGCAATAGCATACTGCATCTCGGGCTTTGTCAAGCCGCTTCTTTTTCGTGCTTGATGATGTAGGCATATTGCGTGATGGTACACACTGCACAGTGCACAGTTCGTTGTAACACTGCAGCGCTTCAATATCATAATTTCATCACATTGAAACTAATTGCACAGAACATTTAATGTATGTAGTGTCAAGCAATTTATGAAAAAAAATCTAGCGGACTGTCACTGTCAATCGTTCTCATTCGTGCGGGCTGCGTTGAAATCAAATTAGAAATAGAGTGTCGTAGAATTACACAAACATTTATATGTTGCTAAAAGTACGAATGCGCTCGATTCTAATGGCATACAAGCATCATACTTTTATAAGGCATCCTTTAACCCGCGCCCTGATGGAGGGGGGGGGGGAGGCATTTTGGCCCCCCTGTGGTTTTTCGTAAATAGCGAGAAAACGGGCGCCGCCAAAATTTGGGTACCTTACCGGGCATCAATTTCACACATTCACACAAAATTTCAAGTCACAATCACCTCGGGTCAGGAGTTATTGAGGTCAAACTGAGGTCATGTTCGAGTAAAAATGAGCAAAAAACATGACATCTTGCAACGCTCACCAATTCTACAGTTAACAAGCAATTCTAAAGTTCTTTATGTGGTTGTGTAGACAAAACACGGCGCTACAAAACTGCTATCTCGGATTTTCGAAATTTTGGGTTTTTCACCCCAAAAAATAAGAAAAATTGATTTTTTTAGGAAAACTAAAAAAAATCCAAAAACTTTCCGAATTTCGAAAAAACCGGAACATATGTGATAGTACCTGCGCTCTTCGATATTCATACCAAATTTTAGATCGATACCTCTTTTTTGGGCCAAGTTATAGCGAAAAAACTGTTAAAAATTGATGACGTCAAATTTTTGAACTCAATTTTTAGCAATTCTAGACCACGTAGCGCAAAACGGAGACCACCATTGAACTCCCCGTGACGAGCTGCATCGAATCGATACCCATTTTATGCAAAAATATCAACTTTGAAATTTGACCTAATTTCACCTGACCTTGACCTGACCTTGACCTGACCTTCACCAAAACATAATCTCAACTGACCCCAAGGGCTGCCTGTCCCACATGATCGCATTTGGCATATAAAATGGACCATAAAACATGCATCACATGATATTTTTAATTTGTGACCCTCAGTGACCTGACCTCTGTGACCTGACCTGGTATCAGTGACCTCAAATAGCGAAATATGTGTTTGACGAACATTTCCCCATCGATGATTTTCAATGAAATGCATTTTACTCGATTTTACAACGCATTTCTTGAAATGCCTGTAAACGGTGAAAATTTGACCTTTGACCTGACCTGTGATGTCATCGGTTTGACCGAGGTCAATGAAATTGGGTCACAAGGTAGTTCCCCGTTGGGGCTATCCAACGCTGTTGCCGCTTGTCGCTATGTTGCGTGGTTCTCGAGATCTTAGGGGGGGGGGCAAAATGCCCCCCCCATCAGACCGCGTTGCTCGGCAGACCCCATCAGGGCGCGGGTTAACATATACAACAAAGAAGCAAGCTGAAACAAACTGATCTAACGAAAATATTCTGTCTTTTTAACCGTCCGAAGAAGGCGCGTGTGTACGTCAGATTGCGACAACGCCCCAACAGCGGAGACGGCCAGGCGCCCGTCGAAAATCAAAGTGTGAGACATTTTGAGCCACGGTGCACTCATTCAGCAATCATCGTCATATGATGCCCCAAAGACGACCGTTGACACATAGTAGGTACTACTTTGGTAATATTATAGCGTTACCAGTATAATCGCCTTTTGGGGCGATTCACGGAGCGAGCGAGAGGGTGAGCCTTGCACGTGCGAAATTTCGAAGGGGTACCTCCAACTGACTTGTGCACGGCACCCTACGAAGCGGTCTCTAGCGATGTACCAAATTTGAGCACAATAGGCCCAACCGTTCTCGAGATCTGGAAGCGGCATCCTGCACGTGCGCACGTGCAAAATGGGTCCCATCTGACTTGTGCACGGCACCCTACTAACTGGTCCCTAACTGTATAAAATTTGAGCGCCATCGGTCCAGCCGTTTTCGAGATCTGGAAACGACCCCTGCACGTGCGCACGTGCAGCAGCACCCCAACTCTGGCACATGGATATGCAGTGCCTAGTGGGTGCCTAACCTACATGCCAACTTTCAGCACAGTCGGCCAAGTACCGAGATATTACAAAACTGACACCTCTTCGTTTAACACGTGCCGCGTGCATAAGGGGTCACCCACATGCATTGGGAATAGTCCAATACTTGGTAAAAGGAATGAAGCTACCCTACAAAAATTGCCGCGTGTAAATCGGTCAAGTGGTTGCTGAGATAAAAGAAGCCTCGCATAAGCGTCCGCACGGCCGGCCGCTCATAGTTACTCAGAACTCAGAAGTTTCCGTTAATCAAGGAAAGACTACGCTCGCTTCGCTCGCTCCGTAGCAACTTACAAAACTGGATGCCGTGAACCAAATGGCCATGAACGGGTTTGTTTGGAAAACCAAGTCGGTTGGAAGCCAAAGTTCGCGCCATGTTCAGGCATGGAGGTTCTCCATTTAAGATAATGTCAAAAACAACGTCACAGTGGTGTACGAGTAGGCATAATTATTTGTGGAGGGGGGGGGGGGAGATGCCTTATTACATTATGGCCTTGGGACGCTGGATGTAAATTTCATCTGAAATGATTGTATTATCCTCCGGGAAGAGGTCAATGAAAACCGGCCTACAACAGTTTAGGGGACCCGTAAAACAACTGAAACTAACATCGGCGTGCATTTTCCTACCATTGTCGGCTAATATTGTAACTAGCGTGTCCATTGCGTGTGCCATTTCATGGCTACTCTGGTTTACTATATCGGACGATAAAAAGAAAAAGTGCAATTATTTTTAGCTTATCTTAATCCCCAATTAGTTAGCAATGTTCGGGTAATTCTTGGACACCCTGTAGTCAAATCAAACTAATGCGCTTGTTGGTTTGGGTAATTTCTTTTTTCGTACCTAAATAAACATTTCATTTAATTCACAACAATGCCTTGAGGAATGCCTAATGTCTATTCACAGGCGAAATGAATAAATGAACTCAAAGAAATGTCAACAGTGATGCACGAAATGTTCGTTTTTTATTGCAATCAACATTGGTCCTATCGAGAGCGATCAATGATGATCTTGTGATGTAAAAAAAGTGAGAAAGAGAAACTCATCGATCACATTTCAATTCCGCGGCAATGAGTCGTTGGCTTATATAGTAGCGCGGACGACGAACATACACGAGCCCACGAACTGGCGTTCTTGAACACATGCACTCGCATATGTGAAACTACTGATACTGAATCTGAAGGCTAGTTGTCTAACAATTACAAGTCCCTTGGAGTTTCTGTGTTACTTGTCAGCTGTTCCTTGCAGGTGACGCTGTCCGCTGACGAAAGTGATGCTAAGTCAGTCAGCAGGGGCTGTCGTCCACCTGTTACGCTGCCCATGCGGAATGCAGATGCTGTTAGACATGACCCCTGTGCTGTTCGGGTAGTGCTGCGCCGCGCCGAGTCCTCTCGATGACACCCCTGAAACAGGCGCATTTTTCGCTGTTTCTTCAGCGTGGTCGCTCGTTTGGTCTGAGATGTGCGGGCGGATCGCTCGACTACCGACTACTTGGCGTCGTAAGCACACAACACTTAAGTCGGTGGACGCAGTCGTGCAGCGATGTGTTCTCGTCATCATTAGAGATGATTAGCGACGGATCCTCCTAATCGTCGTGCCGACACAATTCCAGCTCGTCGGTGTGCTCCTGCAAATCTCGGTAGTTGCGTTTAATCT